AAGAGGACACGAGCCCTGCCACCGGACACAAGATGTCACGTTATGAGACTCATTGTTAACTAAGCTTGTTTTTCTTGAATAAAAATTATTGTTGTTTTTTCTATCCTTCAGAAGGGTTCATGTCTTTTATCTTTAGTTTAGAAGACTTCCCAGCCACCTGATTTCATCAGGGTGGCTGGCCAGCCTCTCAACTACTGATATCGATGATTTTGTGACATCTAGCAATTACGTCAAGTCTGCTTGTTCAACTAACAGAGGCAGCCTTATCCAACAGCGCCACCACGGCATGATTCAGGAACAAACGCCGTTGCAAAGCCTTGGCTGCTCAAGCAGATAGAATGTTGGCCTCAATGTAGGCATGTCAAGAGAAACTCGCAAGATCTGGTAGGGGTTTCACCCCCTCAATTACCCTGTTCCCGCCATCCACTGACTGCTCACCTGCATCTGATAGAACTAGGGTCTAAGGTCTAGACGGTTCGCTCCTTATCGAAAAAGGCGGATACACTGAGCACAACTGGCACAAGCCTCGTTGGCATGGTTTTATGCAAAAGGTACTGCGCATCGCAAGCTTCGTCCAAGTGGCTTGGGATAGACTAACGCAAATGGTGCACACAAGAGAAAATGATCTTCATGCCCCGTCGGGGCCGGGCTGCCCATCGCGATGTGGAGGATCTACGGGGCGTGATGCACGTCTGAAGATGAATCGGGTCGGCTCCAAAGCCGGCCCAAACTTCGCCCATATCAGCCTCCTCGCATCCGCAGCAGCCAAATGAGCGTGCTATCAGCTTGCATATGGAGCTTGATATTGCTTTCAAAAGCAATGAGAGTTTAAACTTGGTCGGGATAACCACTTAGTAGGACATAAGATAATTGAAAACTCGCACGTGAAATTTGACCCTTGAGGTTACAGTCCCGTATGATGAACGACATTTTTCTACAGAAGTGCTATGTCCCAAGTGGCTCTTCTAACGTCTGTAGGTAATGTCAAGGATTCGTCATATGCCGCTCCGGATGGGTACTATAGACTTTGTATGTAACCTTTGCATTTGAACCCTGGGCATACGAGGGTGTATCCGCATGCTGCGAAATATAATATACACACCCCAGGGGGTTAAGGTGCCGCAATGGTGCAATTAAACAGTTCATGAACTGGAGTTTGGACTAACTGGCAAGGGTAATCGCTACTGGGATGTTTAGCCACCCCACTGCCCCAGTGTACGGTGGGATATTAGGCAAACAACTGCAGACCCGACAATGCGCAATGTAAAATGCACCAAAATGCACCAAAATACACCAAAATGCACTAAAAAGGCAGCGTAACACTCTAAATGGAAAGTAATAATAGTAAATATAGTTAAAAGAGGCGTGTGATAAATATGTACTACTTTTTATAAGGTCATTAGTCTCAAGAGTAATAGCTAGTAGTAGGCGCTGTAACTCTAGCTATAGCGCTATAACCCACTATAATATAGGAGGTTCTATGTAGAGTAGTTAACACCATCAGCGGCACCTTTAGCGAGACGTTCAGCAACTATAATAGCCACAATAAAATGCATTTAAATAACATATAAAATAGTGCACGTTTATCGCGTGCTTCTTATGACTATATTTACTACTGCTACTTTTATCTATAGAGCGTTGTGGATTAAGAATACAGCGATTTACTACCTTTCAGTGTGTTATGGTGCAATGCTTTTTGGTGCATTGTCGGGTCTGCAGTTGTT